GCCGGCATTTGTTTACTTTCTTTCCCTGTCGCACCCTGCCTTGGACTTATCCTCTGCCTCTCTTTTGCCTACTTGGGCTCTAGGGACCGGGAAGAGAACTCGTGGAAGCTGGAACCCCACAGGTCACCAGTCAAGATGAAGGTAAGTGGAGCCAACTCTTCGCAGCCGTGTGCTCTGGACGATGCCAGTCGCGAGGCGGCTGTTGTGGAATGGCAGCTTTTTGTGAACTCGAAATTGATTTCTCTACTAAGCAGCACTTTCAGGAAAATGACGTGTGAATGGGTGTGTGTGTGTGTGTGTGTGTGTGTGTGTGTGTGTGTAAATGCAGGCAGTCCAGCCTTCTCTTTTGCAGTTAGCACTTTGGAAAAGGTCGGTACAGCCTTTTCTATTCTCAAACACTTCCTGTGTTGGCAGCACCTTTCTAGAAGTAAAGCTTTTGTCCTGCTTTGGTTTCTTGGAGTCTTTTTGTTTTGCTCTTGCTTTCTTTAAAAAAAAAAAAATACTTCCCCCTTTCCACAGCCAGTGCCATTTTCTAAAAGAAATGATGTATATTTTGAGTAAGGGAGATAGTTCTCGTTATTTCTTTTTCAGATAAAGTAAACTATGGTGATGACAGTGTTTAACCTAATTAGTTCAGTCTTCATAGTATACTTCGTAAAACATGCATTCCATGGATAATTTTTTGAAGCTTCCTAGTCTTACAAACGTCGCTGCCTGCTTGTTTAAAGGGAAAGGAAGCTTTCCTAACATTAGGATTCCGTGGCCCTTGGCTGTTTCTGGTCAGATACTTTACTTGCCAAAAAGTATTCCTCTTCAGTTTGTATTCTTTTTAAGTGGACTAACGTTTCAAAGTACATGATCTACGTTGTTCTTACTGTTCTGTATGCATATGTATGTTGCATATAGGAAATATGTAGTTGTTTTTGTTTCGGTTATTGGAGACTGTCCTGTAGCCCAGGCTGGAACTTGTGAGCCTCCTGCTTCTCTCCAAGGTCTGGAATGACAGGCATACACCACATACCTGTTTGTTAAAGTATGTTACTTTGTGAAATTCTCAAACTTTCTTCCATTCTCTTGTTTTGGAGCAACAGAGCTTCCTTTATTATTGCGTGAGAAAATGAAAAATTGTTTCCGATATTTGGCAAAAGTCTAAGTTGATTTTTTTCCTTTGCCCTTACAATTTGAATTGAATTGTATAAATACAGACAGCTTTTGAAATCGGTAAAATGACAGCCCAAGATAGCAATCATCTGTTACTGTCAAGGAATTGTAAATAGAAGTTTCTCACATGTTTCAATGTATAATTCTGATCATGACCAGTTTTTTGTAATTGGACGTTTCTTACTAAAATCTCCTTTTTAAGTATATTGAGAAGATTAATATTGTAAACTAGGTATGGTTACAGTCTTTAGCTATCAGTTTATAAATGCATTCATTAGTTAAGTTCAGACTTAAGCCTTTCAGATTGACAACCTCCAGCCAGTACATTTTCTGGAAGGGTTTGCTTGCTCTCTTGTCTGTAGAGATACACTGTATCAAAAGATACTGCCTTAGACAGACTTGGTGGCCCTGGCTTGTCCCCAGATTTAGTAGTTAGAGACAGCCTGCACCTTGTCTCAAAAGCCCAAAGCAAGCAAAAGAAGATGTCACCCTCATGAAGTTGTCTCATTGAATGTTTAATTATGTGTTTGTTAATATTAATTTTATAGCAATATTTCTTTTAAAACAGAATTACCTGGAGGCCCCAAATTAATAAAATTTATGAGACTTTTAATATAAATACATTCCTTCTGTTTTCTTATCTTTTTGTTTCCTATATATTAAATTGTAACATTTCGCAAAACATGTTATATCTGAAAAAAATCATTTTTTTCCCAGCAGTTTCCAATTGCAACTTTAAATATTTTACAGCATCTGGAAGTGAATATATAAAACGAAATAGTGTTAATAAGGTGTATGCTTTAGGAATATTCCCTGAATTACCACTGTTATTAAGCAAGTAATTTTAATGTCCCAGTGACTTAAATGTAGACCTTTCGATGCCGTTGGCGGGTGGGATAGGGGAGAACAGTAGTGACATCAGGATTTCCATTCTTTCCTCAGGCGGCAGATGAGCCTGCCTACCTGACAGTGGGAACTGACGTCAGTGCCAAGTACCGAGGAGCCTTCTGTGAGGCAAAGATCAAGACCGTGAAAAGGCTGGTGAAAGTCAAGGTAAAACACTGCAGACTCTTGAGACAGCCAAGACTTTCGTTGTTGTTGTCCCTAGAAAATATTCAAGTTTATTGGTGTGCTGCAAGTGCCCAGAAGGCTGGGCTCCTGTCGAGAGTCACTCCTGTCATGCAGCAGTGTCTTTAAGGCCATTAAAGAGATTGCATGGAGAGATTGCAGTTTATCAGTCTTTCTGTTGAATCAGTGCGGCGATTGAAAAAATAAAGGCCTCACACTGAGAATTGATTCCGGAATATCAAAACACAAGATGTGATGCCTGTGTTGTCTGAATTGTTCCTGTTCGTGGTAATGACTTATGCATTGGTCTCTCCGTTTTCTTAATCAGTGACAGTTTCAGTGATTAGGAAGAACAGTGTAGTAAAATTACGTTTTCAAGATAATGTTCAAAATAATTCCAGGAGTTGAGGGTGTGTGTGTGTGTGTGTCTGTCTGTCTGTGCCTTTTTCAGACAAATTCTGGTGATCATCTTGTCTCTGCCTCCTGAATACTAATGAGCCACGATGAGCCACTATGCCTGACCAAAAGGTTGATTTTTAAGACTAGACCAAAAAAGTTAATGTATTCCTGTATAGAATTTGGAAATATAGAAAGGACAGGTGAATTAATACCTACAACTTTTCAGAAATCTGTTAACATATTTTGTTTTTCTGTAGAAAATTTTCCAGTCTATATTTTCATTTTTGAGATGGAGTCTTAGGTAGGCCAGAATGACCTCAAACTCCCTAAGTACTTGAGAATGACTTTGAACTTGATCCTCTTGCTTCCACCCTCAAGAATTAGAGGCATAAGCCACCACACCTGGTTTTTATGGTGCCGAGAATAGAACTCACAGCCTCATTCATGCCAAACTACCTTTACCACCTGAGCAACATCCCTAGTCTGTTGTTCTCAATGCCCTTCTAATGGAAATCCAAGAATATCTGTGTGTATATAAATATTTTGAGCATTCTAGAGCCATAAAATACAGAAAATATAGAAGAAAGTCCTTGCTAACACTCCATATATTTTATTTTATTTCTTAAAGATTTATTTATTTATAGTGTATATAGTGTTTTGCCTGCATGCCAGAGGAGGGCACCAAATCTCATTAGGTGGTTCTGAACTACCATATGGTTGCTGGGAATTGAACTCAGGACCTCTGGAAGAGCAGCTGGAGTTCTTAACCTCTGAGCCATTTCAAAAGCCCCCAAATATTTTCTGTAGTCTTGCATATTCTGTTGTTAACTGTCATAGCATTATTGTTACTATTACTGTATCATGTATTACAGTTTGTTCTATGCCTTATTCAATTACATCTCTGCTTTCTTACCAGAGTTAAATACCATTTAAGAAGGAGAAGACATCTTAAGAGTTTCTGCTCATGATTCTTACAGTAGTACTTTGTATCTTGTGATCACTCAGTGTGTTGAGTGTGTGAGTGAATGAATGGATGAACAAATGAATGAGCTAGAACATTGATTCTCAAACTGTGGCTCCTAGAGCAGGAGCATTAGCCCTCTTAGGAACTTGTTTAGGATGGAGATTCTCAGGACTGTATCTCAGAGCTTCAGAGTGGAACCATCTGCGGGTAATTTCTGCCCAACCTTAAGGGTTGGGAACATGACTGCCTCATGCAGGCAACAGACCCAGCTATAGATCTGCTAGTGATACTTGATAGTTTGGGTGCCATTTGATCTTTATTTCTTCTTCATTTCCTGTAGCCTTTTAACTGTGTAAACCATAAAATTGGATCACTGGATATTTGAGAATCTTTGACAGTTTTAACCTTTAAAAAATTATTGTGACTCTCAGTTTATCTAAAATAATTCAGTGATTGTTTTAGGAAGGCTCATAATACACTTGTTACCTAGAATTTGAGTTACTTGGGGAAATTGTTCTACTGTGACGTTTCCTTGTATGTTTTGTAGCCATGAGGAGCAAGAGTGTTGGAAAGGAATGCTTATTAGTGACTGAATTGCTTCTGATTATCATAAGAAGTTTGTTTGTTTTGTTTTGTTTGTTTTTTGAGACAGGGTTTTTCTGTGTGTGGTTCTGGCTATCCTAGAACTCACTCTGTAGACCAGGCTGGACTCAGACTCACAGAGATCTGCCTGCCTCTCTCAGCCTCCCAGGTACTGTGATTAAAGGCATGTAACATCAGGCCTAACCTCATAAGGCTTAAGGACCATGAGAGCTGTTTTTAAGTAGGCAATAAAAAGTGAAGGGTTTTAAAAATATTTTGTGACAATCAAAACCTTTTATGACTTGATAAATACACTAGAAGAAATTTTACATCTTTGTAGTATCACTGGATTATAAATCTATAGTTTGTTCATATGGGAAGCAGTTATTAAATGGCCGTAATATGCACTGACACTTGCTAACTACAAGTGGGGTAGTAATGAAAGAGCGCTCAAGCCCTCAAGGAGCTCACAGTTAATGAGAAAGAAAATAAACATAAATACAAGACACTGTAATAACTGTTACGCCAGAGGTAACCACAGGGTATTAAGGAGGCATCTGCAGTGTTACTACAGAGGCATTGTTTAAAAAGTAACTGAGATTGTTTTGTTTTCCAGGTATTGTTGAAACATGATAACACAACACAGTTGGTGCAAGATGACCAAGTAAAGGGTCCCTTAAGAGTACGTATGTCGAACAGTTCAGAACCAGAAATAATGAACAACAGGCAAACGCCATAGTTTAGTAAACTTTTCATTTGTACATACACTTATGTTTTTATATAAATGTTTAATCAGAAAGCGAAATACAAACAGTACAATAGTGTAAATTATGTTACTGCAATGATTGTATCTTTTAAGAGCATCAGACATAGCTGGATATCTTATTTATTTAATTTGTTTTTGTTTTATTTTTAATATGGTCTCATAGCCCAGGCTGTACTAACACTCTGTAGCACAGACCTCTGCCTCCTGAGTGCTGGGATTGCAGGTGTATAACACTGTGCTTGGCTGACAAAGTAGTTTCATACATATGTTAGGATATGCTTTCGGTTACTTTTTGGTTTGAGATCATGGACTGATTACAAACATACATACTCATATATAGTTTGTTTGTTTTGAGATAGGTCTCACTGTGTAGCCCTGGTTAGCCTGGTACTCAGGCTTCTCAGTCTGTAGAACAGACTGGATTTGAACTCGCAGAGAGATCGACGTGTAGGGTGTGCTGCATGCTCAGCTTGAATATATTCCTTGTGTGGTTTTTGTTTTGTTTTTTACATTGTTGCAATATTTAAGATGATGCCTGTGACATGCCATATATCATAACTTTTCTTCTGATTTACCAGATAAAATATGTTTGTTTTATTATTCAATTTAATGAATAGCTATATTGTGTTTTCCATCCATTTCTGACTGTTTATGTAGTGAATCTTTGTTATGACAAAGTACCACTTTGGTTAATAACCTGAAATATAGGAAGCTGAAAGAAGGTTAACTGGTCTGTTCCCCTCTCTCTCTCAAACTGAACCATTTATCTAAAAGGTTTCTAGATATAAGTGCTGAATTCCATACTCAATATTTTGGTGAAAGAAAATAAAGTATTTTTATTGTCTTATGGTTTGACATTTGTTATAGTTAAATTTATTGGAGATTATACAACATGGTGAACAAACTCTGAAGTAAGATTTTTAGTCAGGATTTGAATCCTAGGTTCTGTAAATTATCTTTTTAATTTGTAAAATACAAGCATCAAGTCTCTTACTTATGCCAAAGAACTTGGCTCAGATTACATAATAAAGGTATGAGTATTCTACCTGTTAATTCTCCTTTATTCTAGCTTAGGCGCTTATCAAAAGTTTCTTACTCGTGTAGTTGGTGGGAATGGTTTGATCTGTGTGTTTAAATCTTGTAAGAATATTTGGGTTTCCTGTTTTAGGTCGGAGCTATTGTTGAAACAAGGACATCTGATGGATCCTTCCAGGAAGCTATTATCAGCAAGTTGACAGATGCTAGTTGGTATACCGTGGGTAAGTAGTAACTTTACACACGGCGCTGATTGGAGGCGTGTATACCTCTTCCTTATACATACACTGATGTGTGTGTTGGCAGAGAGCATGCATGCTTTCCCGTGAACTTATTGCATATAGCTAGCTAAAACTGTAGTGATGTTCAGCTGGGGACACTTAGATAGCTTGGGCATTTATATTTTTTTTCTAAGAGTACTTCTGTTGTGGCCTACTTGAACATTATGCCTTCCAGAAAGTCCGATGTTTTTCATCCATGAGACAGTATTATAGTGTTACTTCTGTAGTTGTGGCCAGGACTGAGCAGGAGGCGCTGCCACTTGTCGCACTGAAGATGATGTAGGTGTTAGAGCAGAATGTGACGGTGGAATGAGGTCTGCTAGACAGTCATGCCTAGTGCTTGTAGCCTCGTGTTTGATCTGTACAGTGGATTCTCCTGTAAATGTGAGTTCATTTATCGGTCTGTGTGTAAACTTTTGCTGGCTTTACAAAAACGTTAGTGAGAGGATGGGGAGGTGACTGATGGTTAAGAAGCACAGGCTGCTCTTCCAGAGGCCCCAGGTTCAATTCCCAGCACCCGCATGGCAGCTCACAGTTGTCTTTGGAATCTGATGCCTTCTTCTGAGCTGCAGGTGTTCATGCAAACAAAACACAGATAAAATATATTTTTAAAAAAGTTAGTGAGCCAGGAGTGGTGGCTAATGATTTTTCCCAGTGTTCAGAGCCTGGGCCAGATGTGTTTTTGTGATTAGAAAGCCAGCCTGGTCTACATAGTGCGTTTCTGTCCAGGCAAGGCTCCATGACGAGACCCTCTGAGTACGATGGTCCATTCTTGTAATCCCAGCACTTAAGACGCAAGAGGCAAGTAGATTTGGAGTTGGAGGCAGTTCTTGGATATATACTGAGTTGGAAACCAACCTGGGTACATAAGACCCTGTCTCAAAGCAGAACTAAAATCTTTTAGCAAGAAGCAACAGGTATCACAGTACATGCAAACTAAAACTTAGAAGTTGTCTTGAAGTCCTGAGGTTATACTGAGTGGACTAGCCGTAGCGCTGTTTCTAGCCTATCAGTATTCTGGGGGTAAGCACATGTACACAAACACCTATAACCTTGCTGGTTCTTAAATATCTAGCTTGGTGTAGTATTATAGTGTTATAGTTTCCTTACCTAGTTAGATATAGTTTTTAGTTTAATTAATTTCCTCTTTCCAAGTACTTTTTTCAATAGTTTTAATTCTTCTTTGGCTTCCTAAACATGGTGGTTCATGTGGTACTGTAAAATTTTCAAGTTTTTCATTGAGCTAAGTTGTTAGTATTAATAGATTTTTGTTTTGTTTTGTTTAGGTTTGGTTATTGGTTTTTCGAGACAGGGTTTCTTTGTATCTATGGAGCCTGTCCTGAAACTCACTCTGTAGATGAGTCTGGCCTTGACCTCAGAGAGATCTGCCTGTCTCTGCCTCCTGAGTGGTAGGATTAAATGCGTGCGCTACCACCGCCCGACATTATTGATAGTTTTTAAGAATTTAAAAACTGCAGTTACTACTGACTGTGAGAGATGAAGTTGATAGATCTGTGCTATAGTAAGCAAGGCACTAATGAAGGCTAAAGCAGATGCAGAGTTAGTGTGAGATTATAGGTAAGGACTCAGATCCTGATCAGTCCTCTGTGGCACTCGTTGTCAAGGCTGCAGTCATGATCTGTATTAAGCCTTACCTATGCTCTACAGAATCAATACCTGCACATTTTCACATTTCCTGTTTTTTCATTCCAGCAGAACCATTGAATTATTAGTCTGTCTTCCTCTACATAAATACCATTTTGTCATTTCTAGTGAAGTCACTAGTGAACATTATTTATTGTGTTCTTCTGTGCTGGATAATTACTCAAAGCACTTAAAACCCAATTTGCATATGGTAAGATACCAAAGCATATCTAAGTGTATGTAAGAGTCAACTGGTTCTTATCTGAAATATATAAAATGAGGACCCCCCAAACCTCTTAAGTTCAGCAGGTCTAGGGATGGCAATGCCAGCTTTCTTTTTATTAACACGCTGGATGATTCTGCTGCACATAGTACATGTATGGAAAACATGCTATATGGGCCAGTGAGATGGCTCAGTGCGCAGAAGTGGTCCACACAAACAAGCCTGACAGCTGAATTGGAATGATTGTCAGAATTTCTTAGGTAGTGCAAGAAAACTAACCCTTCGAAATATTCTCTCTTCCCTGCTTGTGCTGTGGACACACACACACACCACACACACACAAATAAATAAATTTCATAGGGCTGAGAGGATGACCTACTGCTTTATCAAAGGACCTGAGTTCAGTTCCCAGCACCCTTGTTGGGCAGCTCACAGTTGGCTGTAACTAGCTGTAGGGATGTTGAGTGCCTCTGGTCTCCATGGGTGACTGCACTCACATGCATACACCCCTCCCCTACACAGTTAAATAATAAAAGTATATCTTTAATAAGTAAGTTTTACAAAGAAAGGGGGGAGGAAGGAAGGAAAAAAGAAAGAGAAAGGCAGACTCTATAAGCAGAAACACTTATTTTGGGGAAAAATGAGAAATCATTGGGAGGACCTCAATCCCAATTCAGTGATATAGTACTTCTCTACAAGGCCTGGCTTTGCTACTCATGCCATAAGAGCAGAGCAAAAATTATTAAGGAGTTTTGCACTTATATGCATAAATGAGATTACTCTGTCAGTGTTTAAGGTTTTGAAAGTCAGTATCTACTTAAGTGCCTCAAAGTACCACCCCACTGTAAATAAGACCTTAAAGGGCTGTGGAGGGGAAAGGCTGATAAGAGGACAATGAGAAAAATACAGTTACAAAAGATGGCTAAATAAGATGTGTGATCTCTCTCAGGTCATAAACTTACTCTCTGTGTGTCAGAGTGTATTCAAAGGAGCATTTTCTACCTATTGAGTTTTGTTTTTTTCCTCAGATTTTCTTTATTTAAATTTCTAACAAAGTATTTAGTAGCTTAGAAAACTGCATGACTCACTTTAGAAGACCTGTGACCTTCTTTGACCTCCAGAGATATCTGAAGTTACGCAGAACCATTGAGAGTGAAGCAGAAGATCACACCTGGCCTTCTGTTGTGATCCGATAGGGCTTAGGATCAGTCATTATGTGAGGTTACCATCTTAATCAATGGTAGTAGATCTGTAGTGTGATTTAGGTAATTCTCTTTTGTCATAGCTGAATAACAAGTTTGGATGAAATTATGGGGCTGGATGTGACTCAGTGGAGAGCAATTGCTTATCAAGGCCCTGAGTTTGATCCCCAGTATTACCTCTGTGCTGGGCGGATTCTTTATATGAGGACTTTTTGTTGTTGTAATTTTGGTTTTTTATTTAGTTTTTTGGGTTGTTTTTAGTCTTAATAGCACCTTTTCTTTCTTTCTTTCTTTTTTGCTTTTTCGAGACAGGGTTTCTCTGTTGGATAGTCCTGATTGTAGTGCAACTCACTCTGTAGACAAGGCTGGCCTCGAACTCACAGAGATTCTCTGCCTCTGCATCCCGAGTGCTGGGATTAAAGTCATGTACCACAACCACTGTGTTTTCTAATATTGCACTGTATGTAGTCTCAACTCATCTGGTGTTTTGTTTTAAAACCAGAGTCTCAGACTGGAGAGATGGCTCAGAGTTTAAGAGCACTGCCTGCTCTTCCAGAGGACCCAAGTTCAAGTCCCAGCAATCACATGGTGGCTCACAACCATCTAGAATGAGATTTGGTCCCTCTTGTAGCATACACGTAGAACACTGTATACTAAATAAATAAAAAATCTAAAATAAGACAAAACAAAATCAGAGTCTCATTGTGTAGTCCAGGCTGGCCTAAAACTCACAATCCTTATGCCTCAGCATCCCCAGTAGCAGCAATCCTGGCATTTTGTTTGTTTCTGGGGAACGTTAGAAATATTTATCATCAGCTATGATGGCTCGTGTATAGTCCTTGGGAAGCTGAAGCGTGATGCTCCCTTCCTCCCCTCAGGTAGTTTTCTTCTGCTTTCTTGTTATCCACAGCCCACCACCCTCTCTTTCTGCTTCCCTTAAGCTCCCCTCTCCCCCTCATCGATCTCTTTATAGTTTCATCACACATACACATGCACATTATATATATTTGGAGTCTAGGTTTCTTCCATATATAAGAGAAAAAATACAGTATTTGTCTTTCTGAGTCTGGCATATTTCCCTTAACATAATGACTTCTAGTTCCATCCATTTAACCTATAGTTGTTATTATTTCAATTTTCTTTTTGATTATGTGAAATCTTGTTGTCTGTGTACCACATTTTAGTACACCTAGCCTGTCTAATTTCCTGGCTTAAGTGACTGTTCCGCAGTGAGGGTGGATGTGCCAAGTGTCTGTCTGGTATGTTGGCTTAAATCCCTCCAGGTCCAGGAGTGACACAGTTGGATCACAGGGTAGTTCCCTTTCAGTTTCACTGACTTCCATAGTGGCTGAACGAGTTTGCTCTCTCCACCCTCGTTCTCCTCCCAGTGTCTAAAGGTTCTTCTTTCCCTGTGTGCTTGCCAGAATTTGTTACAGTTTGTTTACGATGACAGCCATTCTGACTGGGCTGAGATAGAGTCTCAAAGCAGATTTAATCCACATTTCCCTGATGACTGAGGGTACTGAATACTTTCCCAACTATTTCTTGGCTGTTTGTAGTTTTCTTCAGAACATTCTACTCAGTTCAGTAGCTCATTTATTGAATGGATGATTTTGTTTTTGTTTTTAATTTTGCAGTTTTCTATATATTCTAGATATTAATCCCCTGCCTGGTATATAGTTGGAAAGACTTTCATTTCTAGGCTTCGTCTTCACAGAATTGATACTATTCTTGGCTGTGTAAAAGCTTAATTTTATGTAAGCCATCCTGATAGTTCTTGGGATTATTTCTTGTCCTGTACCTGTAAATTGGAGTGTCTTGTCTCTATCTTCCTCTAGTACTTTCCAACTTTGCATTCTTATAATGATTTATTT